CATACTTGACTTACGCATAGTCGTGCAGCCTCGTGCACCACTCTTTCTGCAGCTCCAGCCGTCTAGCTTCCTCGGCGGCGTTGTAGTCCACGGCCAGATAAATTGAGTCTGGCCGGGCTTTGGCTCGCTGCTCAAGAGCTCGCCTTCTTTGTGGGCCTTCAAGGAGCCTTGCAAGAGCTTCTTGTTCCCGGTGGTGCCAGTCTCCTGAGAATAGTGAAGGTCCGTCTTCACGGCTACTGCGGAAATGAAATTCTGGTTTTTGAGGCTCATTCTTCTGTGTTTCGACACGTTTCAGCGGAGGAAGTAATGACTTTTTTTTATCGGTATCACATACTTCGCCCGACTGGCTAATTAGGTGCGGCTTGAAACACTTAGTCCTCAGAGTTCGTCCATCTTTAGTAATCATTACGCTGCGAAGTAGAAGCTCTTCTGCTTTTGGTTGGCTGAATTAAAATTAGAATTGCTATATTATTTTTAAAGCCAAAGCTAAAAGAAAAATGGATTAGTGATAATGCTAAAGGATATAGATGTGACATTCTAATAGATAAATATAGTTTCAAATCCTTATTTTTAATCGAGTTATTTTGAAGCCTAGGCAATTAGCTGACTTGATAATATGCAACACTCCTTAATAATAGAAAAATAATTAGTAGGAATTATCCCACCGCCAATTGGTGAAAAGTCGTTAAACTCACAAAGGCATTTAACCAAAGCTATAAGAGCTGTATGCACCCTATTTCGTTTGAGATGAAGAAGGACTGGTAGTTAAATTTTTCAACAATGATATAAATTAGCTTTACGTTTCTAATGAATTTCACAAGGCCTTGTTCACCAAAAGGTATGTTCATCCAGGTTAGACGTATTTATGAAGGGTAGAATAAGGAGTGCAGTCGATGGCTTTAGCAAATACAATTTTGATTCATCGACAATCCCACCTCAGAATGTGATATGGGAAAATGCCTGGCCTTCCTTAAAACTCACATTCGTAATGTGCTTCAAGGAAAATTGTGGCAGTGTGGCGTAGTGAGTGCTGATGAGACCTAGGCGAGGTCGGAACTGTCGCCCATCCTGGATGAGAATACCTTTTGGGGAACAAGGCTGTGTGAAATTAAATGGAACTGGAAGGCCCACTCATATGATTGTAAGAAAATTTACCTACAAGTCCATCATCAACCTAAACGAATACAGCTTTTATATAAGATTTACTCATATTCTTAATAAACCTACTTGTAAAATGAAAAATTCAAACAAAACTCCTGTACTAATGGAATTTGGATTATAATTTTACTTTTGCCTTATTTTAATCTCCAAGTTAATTACCATGCAAAAGTTGGCCATACAAGTTCAGAGACAAATATGTTCGCCCCTCGGACAATTGAACTTAACATTGTTCGGTGATAAGATGGCAAAAATACACGGATGATCAAGCATGCCAACTCGCCAAGAACATCGGCAAAATCTAACGATCGTTATAACTAGTTATTAGTATAAATATCGATATAAGAACCAGAATCGTACGGCTCACTTTCGTTTATATAGTTAATTCGACCTCGTAAATCCAATGTACTTACGTTATTAAGTCGAAACTCCTATAATATTTGGCCAATTTATTTCAGGGGCTATATTATCCTTGATGAAAAATTTCGCCTTTATTCAAAATGAAATATTGAGCAGTATGTTGATATTTAACGCCTGATATCGTAAGGATCGAAAATTAATGGCTAAAATAGTGTAGACCTTTTGGCACTGGCAGGTGAACTTGAAGTAAAATAATGTTGGAATTCCCTTTACTCTTGACTAACCTCTCTCTTCATTTCATATTGCTTTCGAGTATCAAACTTACGAAATCAAACTGGTGAAATCATTTTGAGTAACTATCAAAACAATCCGCTTGAAGCTGGCTGGAAACGTTTGCCTTCATAAACTGTATGCTTTGGCCTAGCATTAGATCGATTATTTTTTAAGTTTTTTCGTCTTAAGCTACAGTAAATAACTATTAAACAGTAACTCAGACAATCCATTCGAAAACTTGAACCCATATAGGGCACATAATATTTCAATTTAGATCGATAAGGCCCATTAAGTAGTGTCATCTGGCTGCAATTCTGGGAACAAAATATATTTGGCATCACCAACGAGAGAATGAAGAATTACACTGAATATACGTGACTAGTAGGAGAGTTAGAGAACAACAGCAACCAATTGATTCAATGTAAAAATAAAATCCCTTCTGAGATATATAATTTCAAAGCTGTAGCGTGATACTTGATCCATTAATCTGCTGATCATTCGAGTCAGTAATGAATTCGTCATACCTGAGATTTGAAGGTTAAGTAGTTTAAGTTGGATGAAAAGTTTACAAGTTAAATTAGTCAAGGAAAAATGCCCATCCTATATAACCTCATTAAGAAAAAGATATTGTGGTATTTGCCTTGGTTCTTGTCTCTATTTTCTTTGCAGGGTTCATTTGACCTTGTTTTTGAAACTTTAATGTGGTGCTGAGAAGATTTCGAAGAAAGATATCCTTCTGCAAGTTATTCATGATACTTCAAAGCGTCAGATAGTTGAATCATCAACAAATCTAGCCTTAGCACCAAGCAACAATTCTTGAAAGTGACAAGTGAAGGCAACCATCCTGATCAACTTTTTGTTTAACAAATATGGCACCTCTACTAACCCTAATCCTAGTTCACGGCACTGTATCATCACCCCTTAATCCGAATTCCTGCGGCCAATAATCCTAGTTAAACATCTCTGTATCCTGTTTTTTTACAACATAACCTAGGAGTGTATACCGACAAGTTCCAAGCCCGTACGTAAAGTATTTACGTCCAACCAAACCCACTTTTAGCGAGATACAAGTATGAGATAGATAGGAAAATTTAACTAATAAATGAAGACTTATTAACCAAGATACATTGCTGCGAACAGGACCAGGCTGGCTAAGATGTACCACAGTTGGTTTATATAAACTGCCTTTAGAGAATTTCAGCCGGGCTTTAAGAATATTGCTTTGCATTGATAATCTCTACTAAGGTCATGGCGTAGCATTCGTGATTGTAACTTGCAAATGTAACTATGCCGGAATATATCAACACACCTAAACACAATAATCAGGTTGAACAAAACTAGAGATAACCAAATTGATTCCGTCAAAATAACCTAAGAATTCAAATATTTAAGCGTACATAGAAAAAAAACTACTCTAAAAATGCAAAGTTTAGCAAGCTACCATAATTACCTTGTTTCATATCTTAAATTTATTCCAGACCATGGTTTAATTTGACCATTCAATTACTTGCTATTTCTCCTTTCAAGCATAACCTATTGTATTTTTAGACTTTCTAATCATAGTGACTATAATAAAATGTTCGCATCAAGGGTATTATTCTACGTTAAGTAATGTGGATAAGAAATCCATTTGGGAAGAATCGAAACAATAATTATTATGCGAACGTAGCTACAACTAGTCTCTTTGCTAAGAATAGCAAGACTTACTGACGATATCGACTACGACGCCAGTAAAACGTCCCAGAATATGCCAAGTCTACTGTTCGATTCGGAAGATTGTCATGTATACTATAGACTCCGGACGAGGTGCGTTTTTATTAGTCTTCCTGTCAATATGACCAAGTTGAGAAAACAAGGTCAAAAAATTCTATACAACGAAAAGAGACTGCGACCATACAAAAGGCCACACCATCCTGGTCTTCATATTTTTACATATTAAGGTGCGGAATACCAAATTAATGAAAATGATTATTAAATACTTTTAAACCGGATTGACGAATTAACCGGAAATGTGGATACTACGATAATGCATATGTTAACTGCACACGGATTTCGTATTAAAACCATCTTTTTATAATAATAATCAGTATTGCATGTAATTTTTTAGAGCAGTTAAAAAATAAAAAGAATGAATAAATAAAAATAGAGCTACTTAATGAAAGGAATAGTTCATAATACTAGCAAATGTTTTTAAAAGGCACCGTTGGCATTATACCCGTAATGCTTGAAGTTTCACTGAAAATATCTCAATGCATTCACATCTCCTTAAAAATTCTACATTAACCAGGCTGAGCTAACTTAATAAAGCTTGATAAAGCATATTTAAACAAATAGTTTGTATAAACTTTAATGTATTAATAACATCAAATCCACACATGTAATATAATATAAATTTGCAAATAATTACCTCAAAAAAGGAGAATTGAAAGGTCCAGGAATGGAATAAGTAGATAGCAAATAATGATTTGATTTTGCCCATGAGATATTTCTAGCAATTTGAATTTCAGCTTTAGCTAGTTGTGACATCCGCATTTGCTCATCCTCATATTTTTTAATCTTCTCCCTATTAAGTATATTAAGGTTATTCACAGGGCAACTTGCATCATGAGTATTTCCGAATTTGAAACTTTATTTATATATTCCTTTCGACAATAGTAAGATAAAATTCTAGTTCTAACATAGTAACCCCTCCAATGTTTTTGAATCTTGATGCGTGAAGTTAAATAGGCATACTTTTGTTGCACAATCATCATAAAATTTTTGCTGCATTTCCCCCACTGCTCTGTTCAATAGTATATAATATAGTAATCTTCCTTTGTATCCTCTCCAAACTGATTGTATAATAGAAGCACATTTGTGCAGAAAGCTTAAAGCGTATAATATTTAATATAAAAATACGCTATATCTTTTCTTGTTAGGTAACCTCTGAACAGAGATTGTATTTTCCGTGCTTTGTTAAATTCCTCTAGTCTATGCGTTTGAGTCTCTCTATAATTGAGCAGATTAAGCAAAAGATAAGTTACTTAATTTTTTCCGTAATATCTTGTCTAATATCATCCTTATCGAATAAGAGGAGGGATGTATAAAGCATATGAATAATTTAAAGTTGGCAATATACTTGTTGTCATAGATTCAAAAAATATTATAATTATCTTAAAATCAATCGTTTCTTTTTTAAAAATACCTAGCTAAATACTAAAATTATATTATTTTAAGCATTAGTAATTGGTAATTTTTGGCAGTTTACATTATGCTTTTAATGAGCCTTATAATAATCTCCACCTGACCTATGGCTTATGCAGGTAGCAAGGTCATCTTTCTTCTCCATCGTGTATCAATTTGGAATTCATCCTCTTTATTATGAATAAAAATGAATATATTAGGTCCTCAGTCACTTAATTAAAAAATCTGCAAAATAGATGTGCTGTAAAGTTAACTAATGCTACCATAATAATACGCTTTAATGTGCAATCAATAAAAATGCCACGCTCTCTTTATGATGTAACTAGAGTCATCCAAAATGAATAGATAAAATTTAATCTCACTGGTAAAATTGTAATCAATCTAAATAACTACTTAGCAATTAAACGCTAATCTTAAAGAGATAGCATTCCC